CTGCCCACGGCAGCGAGGTCACGGCCTCGGTGACTGGAATCTGAGTTTTCTGTTTGTCTCTGTGACAGCTGATACGCCCAGCTATGCAAAGATAAGAATTTTCAGTTTTCTGCTTTGGGCGGAAAGCAACACATTTATGAGGGCGATACTGCTTTTCATTTTAGGAAAAAATCTGTACTACGGAAATAGAAATTTTGTTTTTCCTTATTTTTTTAAAACAATCGTCAGTCAGAACTTGCAGTCACGTAGTCCAACACATGCACGCGTGACGAGCCACTTCTCCCAAGAGGGTTGTTTTGGGGCACGAGGGCGTGTGTCCGTGTCCGTCTGTGTGTCTGTGTGCTGTGTCTGTGTATCTGTGTGTCCGTGTGTCTGTGTCTGTGTCCATGTCCATGTGTCCGTGTCCGTGTGTCCATGTCCGTGCGTCCGTGTCCGTGTGTCCATGTCCGTGTGTCCGTCTCTCGTGCGTCCGTGTCCGTGTGTCCATGTCCGTGTGTCTGTGTCTGTGTGTCCGCGTGTCCATGTCTGTGTGTCCGTGTGTTTGTGTCCATCTCCATGTGTCCGTGTCTATGCATCCATGTCTGTGTGTCCGTGTCTGTGTGTCTGTGTACTGTGTCTGTGTGTCTGTGTGTCTGTGTCCATGTCCATGTGTCCGTGCGTCCGTGTCTGTGTGTCCGTGTGTCCGTGTGTCCGTGTCCATGTCCGCGTCTGTCTGTGTCATGCTCATGGATCACTCTCACTGGACTTTCGTTGACTCGCATGCTGGCAGGCACGTGGAAACAGTCCACCGGTCTGCATCTGCCTGCAAGTAAACCTGAGTCTCAGGCTCCTGCTCCGTAATAAGTGATCTGATTCTCAGTTTCACTAATTTTCTCCAAATTTGAGAAAATAGTGAGGTATTGTGAAACAAAATTGGCCTTAGGCCAACAATCCTGATTTCTAGGGCCCGGCCCTAAATCTTTCCTCCTCATTCGGGGGTGGGACCCCTGGTGAGGAGACCGGAGGGGCCTTGGAGCCCACGGGAGCTAAGATGCTTGACGTGAAGGGCGGCAAGTGCCCAGGGCAGGACACAGACCCACAGGCCTCTGGGGGGCCCGACGGTGCCGTCCTCAGGGGCAGTATCCCCCTCGCCGGACCTTGGTTTCACTGCGCTGCCCGAGGTCACACTCCACACGCCAACTGCATAAACCAACCTTTGGGCAACGAGATCGGAAGGTTTACGCCAGTGCTCGCTATGTCTGGTGACACTGGTTCTACAAGGGTCCGGCGAAGGCTCCATGACGTCGGCAGCAGCAGACCAGGGTTTCTGCGCCCGCGTTATTGTCTCGAAGTGGATTAGTCAGTTCTTTCAGATCAGCAAGGAAGCACTCGGTGCACGAAAATGCTAACGCTGCTGTGTGGGGGTGAAGCAGAACGCCACATTCAAGGTCTTCGCAGAGTCGGGCTAGAGCTGTGAGCATATGGTGTGCGCAGACTCGAGCTCATACACGTGTGCACACACGATAATGTGAACGAGCTCCAAATTTGGAGTCAGACAGACCTGGGTCCAAGAACCCTGGTTCTGCTAACACGATGCAGCCCGAGAGAACTTTTACCTCTCTGACCTTCATTTGCTCCATTTGAAAAACAGGGAGATAATAAAAATAGATAAAAATATTGAGTGATTATTACTATGTGAGGGATCACAACTGTCTTAGAGGCACATTAATTCTCAAGACGACTTTGAGAAGCAACGGCTTCTTTCACAGAGGAGGGAACTGAGACAGGGGCATGTGTGTCACTTGGTCAGGGTCACAGAACTAAAGCCACCTCGACTGCGTCTTCCTCACGCTTTCCGACTGAAGACAGCTGATAAAGCTCCGTGAGTGGGGCCCGACCCTCGCGTCCCCCAGCAGCTTTGTGCAGCGCTATCACTAATAAACAGCTGGTAAACAACAATGCTCAGCTTGATTAACTGACGCATATGACTGTGTTTCTTCCGCTTTCAAGGTCAAGTTGTTGGTCGCGCGCTTCTTACACACAGGTGCGCGGATGCGCAGTGAGCGCCCTGCTGTGGCAGGCGCTGGGCTCCCCACCGCGGCCCGCTGGGCGGTGAGGCAGGCGCAGTCTGCGCCCTCGCGCACGCGCATGGGCTGCTCTGAGGATCCCCAAAGACACCTGCCTTACGCCGGGGCCGAAGCGCCGCGCCCTGGGAGCGGTGTTGGCACCCGCGCACCAACTCCAGGAGTCCGGTGGCGGCACCCACTGCTGGGAGCCTTGTCGCTGCCTTTTTCTAAGGTTAAAACAAGCTTTCTGCAAGTTTTACAAACACCTATGTATCATTTCCATTTTCATCCAACCTGCGCATGAGCAAGCTTCTCAGGAGCTGTGCATTTCTGGGTTTACCTGCGATCGGAGCACCCCTGTCTCCCCCAAGCGATCCCATTGAAGTCCATCTCTAGGGCTAGGATCCTCGCCTATGCTTTAAAAACCACCACCAAAACCAAACATCTCGCCAAGATGCCGTTATTAGAGCTAATCACTAATCACGTATTTCCTCCCATTTTTCCAGCAGCTTCTCTTCCATGTCAAAGAGATCCCTAAAGCGTGATCTCCTCTGGCAGGCTGTCGCCCTGTCATCGCCTCTTACTCCCTTCGTCATCCTGTCACCAACTGTGCAGTCCGCAGGGGGTTCTAGCACATGAGGGTCCACTACCCAGATCACAAGTCCACGCGGCAGCTGTTTATTTGCAAATCCGGGACGTGGTGGACACGGGGTATGGCAGGAGGCTTTGGATGCTGGTGCCCTCTCATTTACCTGAGACTGCCCGCTGCCTTCTTCGCCTGTGCCCAGACGGTAAAGAGACTCCCCCTCCAAACCCACTGCCACGGAACCGACTGGGACGTCGTCAGCCATCTGGCGGCCAAGGTGCCGCAACGCGAAGAGCTCAGGCTTTCAGCAGCAAGAGTTACAGTGCTAATCGTCACAGCGGCGGCAAGGTGAGCAGGCGTCAGTTCTCACTGCGTGCCGGGCACTGTGCTGGGGACTTGACACACTGACCTCGGACACCGGTGGACATCCTTATGTCCATTTCATAGATGAGGGGGCTGCGGGTTCCGAGTGTGCTACTTGCCCAATGCCACAGAGCTACAAGGCAGCACACGTAGCTGTGATTGAAAACCAACCGGCCTGGCTCTGCCCCCCTTCCCTTCACACCCGGAATGAGGGAGGAGAGAAGCAGGTGACCAGCGAGGTGGGGGAGAGCGGACAGAGGGGCTGGACAGCGGAGCGAACGCCCTTACACACGATGAGTTCACTAGATAGATGTCCACTGAGCACCGAGCGCCTCTCCTGGCTAGGCAGTGTCCGTCCAGGATACACGCCATGTCCTAGGGAGGTGCCTGGCCTGGAGGCAGGCTCTCCGGCCCTCACGGAGGCCATGCTCAACGCGGCCCCAGGGGGTGGGGGCGGAGGGAGGGGGTGTGTGAGTGTGTGTATGTGTGAGTATGAGTGTGAGTGTGTGCGCGTGTGTATGTGTCTGTGTGAGTGTGTGTGTGTCTGTGTGAGTGTGAGTGTCTGTGTGTGAGTGTGAGTGTGTGTATGTGTGAGTATGAGTGTGAGTGTGTGCGCGTGTGTATGTGTCTGTGTGAGTGTGTGTGTGTCTGTGTGAGTGTGAGTGTCTGTGTGTGAGTGTGAGTGTGTGTATGTGTGAGTATGAGTGTGAGTGTGTGCGCGTGTGTATGTGTCTGTGTGAGTGTGTGTGTGTCTGTGTGAGTGTGAGTGTCTGTGTGTGAGTGTGAGTGTGTGTATGTGTGAGTATGAGTGTGAGTGTGTGCGCGTGTGTATGTGTCTGTGTGAGTGTGTGTGTGTCTGTGTGAGTGTGAGTGTCTGTGTGTGAGTGTGAGTGTGTGTATGTGTGAGTATGAGTGTGAGTGTGTGCGCGTGTGTATGTGTCTGTGTGAGTGTGTGTGTGTCTGTGTGAGTGTGAGTGTCTGTGTGTGAGTGTGAGTGTGTGTATGTGTGAGTATGAGTGTGAGTGTGTGCGCGTGTGTATGTGTCTGTGTGAGTGTGTGTGTGTCTGTGTGAGTGTGAGTGTCTGTGTGTGAGTGTGAGTGTGTGTATGTGTGAGTATGAGTGTGAGTGTGTGCGCGTGTGTATGTGTCTGTGTGAGTGTGTGTGTGTCTGTGTGAGTGTGAGTGTCTGTGTGTGAGAGTGTGTGTATGTGTGAGTGTGAGTGTGTCTGTGTGTGAGTGGGAGTGTGTGTGAGTGTGTGAGTGTGTGTGAGTGTGTGTGAGTGTGTATCGGGGTGAGGGGGTGGGCGGAGCTCCCCAGACGGGGTCTTGGGTGGGAGTGAGAGCCGCTCAGGAGGGTTGGAGCAGGCTGGAGAGGGGCGGTTCGGGCTTCAGAGCTGGGACAGCCCCGCAGAGCGCTCCGGGCCGCCTGGCGTGGCCGGGGCGGGGGGCGGGGCAGGCGGTTTTCAGGCATGAGGACGGGGCGAGGGGACAGCGCTCGTGAGCAGACGTGAGACCGAGTGGGCCGCACTGGGGTCCCGTGAAACTGCCCGCTCGCCAGTGCGTGACCCGCGAGGCTGCGTAAAACACTGAGGCGCGGGACCCAGGCTTTGCGAGGACTCGGTCGGGACCCAGGCTGCCCGCGAGCCGAGCCCGATGGGAAGAGTGACCGGTACGGAGGCAACGCGGACCCCTCCGCCGGAGCCTTGGGGTCCCAGGGAAGGGGCAGGGCTGGGGGAACCGGGACGCGCAGCCGGGAGAAGCTGCTGTTCTTTTACGGTGAATCTGAACCAGAAAGAGAAAAGCCAGAGCTGCACCCTCCCCACTTCGAGGCGCCGCCCCTGTCGGGCGCGGAGGCCCCGTGGGCTGCCCGGGGACCTGGACCGCGGCGCCTGGGACTCTTACTGGGACAGGAAGCCGACGTTTCGTGTCAACTCCACATCACTCTTTAGAAGGGGATCCAAACGGTAAGAGATTAAAACTCAGGAACTGTGGGTTTTTGATCTTACCGTTTTTGTCCGCTCTCCTCAGTATCTGGAAAAGAAAAAGAAAACATTGTGTCGCCATTTTTTGTTACGTATTGTGGTAAACATTATACTCACACATAATTCACCCGTTGTTAAATGAAAGAAATTCCGATTTTCCATAAAGGCTTCCCCATTGAGATCTGTCTTTATGATAGTCAAAACCTAAAAACCCCTCAAACGCCCACAAACCCGGGAAGGAACACGGCACTGCCGGTGACCCGCACAGCTGACAGGGCTGAGTGACACATGGGGAGAAACGTGCTCCTGGCACACAGCCACCGGGCGGGCGGCAAAGTAACGATCCCGAGGCAGAAATCAGACACAGAAGAATAGCGTTCCTACAAAAACTCTAGAACAGGCAAACCGGTCTACAGAGACAGAGGCAGCCCAGGGTTGTGTAGGGCTCGGGGCAGCTTCGGCGCTGGGTAGGCAAACTTACTATCGCATCGTGCTCATGGTTTCTTGTGCGTATACATATGTAAACTCTCGTTAACATTCACTCGAAATATGTGCGATTTAATGTAAGTCAGTCATATCTCAACAGGGCTGGCAATAAACAGAAACAAAAACGGGCAAAATAAATGGTGGCCAGCGGGAGTCAGGTGTCCACACTGCAGCTTGCTCTCTCCTGAGCGTTAATCCCCTTGAATCTATTTTGAATCATCTTTGATGGATAGAAACCGCTTGGTTATGCAGCATCTTCGGTAATGATTTCTAAGTTTCTCCTGAGAAACCGGTCTCTCCTCTAGTCTTGGCCAGAGTTGTCCTGCCTGGCAAAGAGGGGTCACGTCTCCTGGCCACAGTGACCGCCCAGGCACGAGCATAGTAGGAGCAGAGAGCGACAGGCCTCGTTCTGCCTGGGTCGTCAAGAGAGACATTCTTTCTCTTCTGCCGACTTCGAACGTGGGAGGATGTAGGTGAGGAGATGCTGCCAGCCTTTTGGTCACTGCACATGCTATGGTGTGGGTTGAACTGCGTTGCCCAAAAACAGAAGTTGGAGTCCTAGCCCCCAGTAACCAGGAAGGTGACCTCGTGTGGAAATCCTCTTTCCTGATGTAATCAAACTAAGGTAAAGCCATACTGAGTTGGGCTGGGCCCTAAATCCCGTGACCGGTGGCATTTAAGGAGGGAGACACTCAGAGGCCACGTGACGATGTGGAGTGATGAGGCTGAGCCCCCAGCAGCAGGAGGGGCACGGACTCCACCCCGGAGCGTCCAGCGGTCGCTCCCCACTCCCTCCTCTCACTGCCCCGGCCCGCAGGACTGAGATGGTGCATTCTGCTGAAGCCACGCCGTGTGCCGCTCATGACCACGGCAGACCGCGGAAATTAATCCGAATCTAACCTGGAAAGAAGCAGCATTCGAGAGCGCGGTGTCCAGAGCTGAGAGAACCTGGACCCCGGTGGCCCCTCTCCAGGCTCCGATCAAGCCATTCTTACGTGACCCTGCCTTTCTTTACAGGAGCCCATAAATTATTATTTTTTAAACGTTAAGATAGTTTGGATTATTTTTCTATTGGAAACAAATTAGCCCAACTGATACTGCCTACTGATAAAAAGTCTGGATATCATAGCTATGTGACACACAGTCCCAAAGGCAATGTCCCTCCGCCCTACTGCAAAGACACGCTATGCCATCTGAGAGGCCTCCGGGGACCGCTTTTCCTGAGCAATACGCAGTTTGGGTTAAATAACCAGAACTGCTCTCATATTTAGGTCATCGCTTCTAGTGGCCAGCTCGGAACGTAACAGTCGTCACCGAGCCTTTCTGCTTCGCTGCTTTCTAGTATCGAAACATTCTGCTCCTTTCCTCCTGTCGGCTTCGTAAAGTATAAATAAATCTAACCATTATCACAATGTATTTATGATAAAATGTTGGTATTATTACTAAAAATCTTGCCTATGAAAAATTTCCAACAACATATATCTCTCGTGCGCCTAAGTTGGTCCCCCTTTTTATACTAAATTTATTTAATTACTGCAAAAGGGCTGCTTTCAATACTGGAGCTTCTGCCTTAGAGCAGGATGAGACACAGATTCTTTCTATTCCATGGAGGTAATTTCTAAAGACTCGGAGATCCGTCTCTCCGTTTATGACCTGGAAGCCTCAGCCGCAAGACAGGGAGACACGAAACGCAGCGCCTTCCTCAACTCTGAGACTTTACAATTCTATTTCAAGCTCTATTGTGCCCCTATGAGTTCGAAGTGACCAGAATAGAAATAACCACACACCAGAGACTTGGATCCACGACCTCGGTCATTTCATCTCATAAAGAGCTATCTTAAATAGCATTCTGTCTCTTAGAGATGAAAGACAGCAGCTGTTGTTATTAAGATAATTCTTTGTAATTAAATAGGAACAGAACTATCTCTGCTGCAAATTTTGCCTCTGAGCCCACACACAGAAAACTGCAAACGTATTGCAAATGAGAACTGCATTCATTATGTCATGCTGCCATAGTGATCTGGATCTGCTCTGATTACCGGTTACTATCACAAAATAAGTAGTAAATAGATGAAATTACTATGGTCAGAATAAAAACTTAAAGGCAGGTGATGCTGTGTCTTTGCAATAATTTAAAGATGATCAAATGGCATCCTTTATCCAAAATGATTAGAATTCCTCATTTCACACTTGAAATTATTGAAGGCAGGTGTTAAGATGCAAGTGTTATCTCGGCGGCCTAAAAAAACTGATATGATCACCATTTATGGAACTCGTATCTGCTCAGAGCCTCCGACCAGGTCCCCAGGTGGCATGGGGCAGCGAGACGAACCAGTCTCTCGGTGGACCTCTGAGCTGCTGGGACGGAAGACAGGGCGCACGGAGCTTACCCAGAACACGGGGTTCCATCCCAGAGGGGACCTCTGAGCTCCTGGGACGGAGGACAGGGCGGGTGGAGCTCACCCAGAACACGGGGTACCATCCCAGAGGGAAGGCCTGGGAGGTGAGTCACAGTGTGTGAGCCGACCCCCCTGACAGACAGCCACCCAGCAGGGAGGTGTCCGTGAGACGGGGAAGCAGGCCCTGGAGGGTAGATGGCCGACTGGCCATCAGCACACGCATCTTCCTCTTCCCAGTTTGCCCAGGGTAAGCCTTGTGTGGGAAAACAATTTTCAATGCATAAGAGTAAAAGGAAGTCTTCCTTATTTCTGCTGGTCCCTGAAACGAGTAGAGTGACCTCTGCCATGCCCGTTCGGGTGGACGATGGCGGGGTTAACAGCCGTTCTCTCCCAGCTGGACAATGTCACTCACATTCTCAACCACGCACAGCGATTCCGCTCGCTCGAGCAGTCAGCTGTGGACCAGGTGAGACGGGGGTTGCGGCCGCATCTGGGGAACTGTCTCTGCCCCGGCAGCGCCCCGGCCGCGTCTCCCACACGGCGAGTATGGCAGACAGAGCTGCGGAGGTAAGGGCCCTCGAGCAGAAGCTCCTGCTCATTTCCACCGAGTCCCGGGCCGTCGGGCCCTGCGCCCTTCGTTCGGCGTGTGCACGGCGTGCACGCTTCTTCGTGGGAAGGAAGGGAAGGCAAACTGTAAAGTCGTCTCTCTCCTTCATGACTTCTGGGGCCACTTCGGCCTCACCATTTCCCTTCCAATTGAAAACCAAAGGAAAACGGAGCAGACAGTGGCAGCTAAGTTCGTTTGGGGCTTAGCTCGCTTTCAAGGACGAGTCGAAGGTTCTCCTCCTTTGCATGGCAGCAGAGCTGATGAGTGGAACAAAGGAGGACTTGCCACATGCACCGGTAGTCTAGAGTTTATTCTGTCACCTGAAATGCAGCGGCTGGGAGAAGACCGTGCACGGGTGCAACACGCAAGCCACCCTCCCCTCCCGGCCCCCCACGCCGCTGTGCGCGGGGCCGGCCCGGCCCCTCCCGCGGCACACACAGCGCCAGGCTCAGCACCGCGCGTGCGCTGAGCCCAGCACTGGGTTCCCAAACCCCCAGCAGGTCATCGAGAAGACGAACTGATGCTTAATTCTGTCAGCGTTTAGAAAGACAATCACATAAAACAGATTTACAAAGAAAAAGTCCCAGTATTAGTTTGTGGACTTGGCTACTGTTACTTATACGTTTGACGTAGAACACTGATGGAGCAATGATAGCTCATATTTATATAATACATTTCCTTTGTGTCTCGGTTTTCTGTCCCATGAACTCCAATCTCATACAGTGACTTTCAGAATTAAGTATCATACTCATTCTTACTGCCGATTTGGAGGTAGGGAAAATGACGCAAAAGCCAACATTTGTGGTAAATCTCTGGTTTTCTGATCTACGGCTAGTCTCTAACCAGGTGGACACATCTGGTCACGTCATTAACAGTATCCTCAAAAGCAGTTTAAATCATTTCTTAGAGGATTCATTATTCTAGTGGCATCGGAAGATAAATGCTAAGAATCACAGTTTTCCTCAATTTTGGAAATTAGTCTCTGTGACGCAGAAGGCTCTAACTGGTTCCATTTCTGTTCATCTTCGAATAGGGAATTTCTATCATCTACTAATTATAATCTGAATAAAGTTCAAAAGCAATCTTTTTTAGCAATGCTACTAGAATATATTAAAACTAATGAAATTATTTATATTTCACATGTTATTTTTTGCTAAAAGCAAGATGATCCTAAATGAATAATTCAACAATCCCTGAGTAACAAATTATTTTTTATGTCATCTATTGCCCCAGAGCGATGGATTTTTCACAAAATAACTCAAAGAAAAGTATAAACAAATCTTTTCCACTTGAGATAAAATCCAGTGGCGGTTTTTTTTTTTTTTTTTTTTTTTGGCATAATGTTACACTGGGCTCCTGGGATTCATTTGATCAACATGATTAAATTATTTCCTTACTCAGCTAGAAGGAAATACTCAAAAAAAAGTATAAACAAATCTTTTCCACTTGAGATAAAAACCAGTGTGGGGTTTTTTTTTTTTTTTTTTTTTTTTTGCAGACTCTTACATTTTACTGGCAAACAGCATGTCAACACCTTTCGTGTAAAATCGGGTTTAC